AAGCGAATTAGAGATAATCGACCATAATCAGAAAAATAAAAAAGATTTTAGAAGAAAATTTGGGACAAGATCTTTAAGACTTAACAGATTTATTAAATTGCTCAGATTTGTTAAATAGCTCACCAGGGGAAAAGGTTGGTGAGTTCTCCTTGATTGAAAAGAACTTCACTGAAAGAGAACATTATGAGGGGCCCCTGGGTGGCTCAGTTGGTTAAGTGTCCAACTGTTGACTTTGGCTCAGGTCATGATCTCAGGGTCGTGAGATCCAGTTCCATGTCGGGCTCCGCGCTGGGTGTGGAACCTGCCTAAGAGTCTCTCCTTCTCCCTCTCCCCCTCCCCCTCCCCCACTGCCCATGCCCCCTCTCTCTCAAAAAAAAGAAAAAAAAGAAACACATTATGAGAGTAAAATGGCAAGCCACTGATTGGGAGGATTGGGGGTAATACCTACTTCTGACTAAGCATGGACTCATCCAGACTACTTTCCTACTAATCAAGAAGACAAACCCCCAAGAAAGATATGGGCAAAACCGACTTGAAGATGCACTTCTGAAAGAAGATCTCCTTGTAGCCATTAATATGTGACAGGGTGCTCAACATCATCAGCCATCAGGAAACTGCAAATGAAAATACACCCCAGAATGGCTTAACCTGAAAAAAATTCAGGGTCATTTGGCGTTTGTAGATCGGCTGGAACTCATACATAGCAGGTGAGGCCGTGAGTGGCATATAGGTGCAGTCACTCTGAAAACTGGTAGAATCTAGTGGAGCTAAGTGTAAGTACACTGTAAGCCAGCACAGCACGTCCATTCCTGGAGAAACGAGTGCTTATTTGTAGCAAAAGGACGTTCGTGGTAGCTTTATTCATATTAGCCACGGAATGGAAACACTCTCAAGTGCCCACCGGCAGTGCAGTGGATAAAATCGTGGTTTGTTCATACTGTGCAAGACTGTATTGAGCAATGAAGACGTCTGCTCTACTTAACACAGGTGATTCTCACCAGCGTCATGTTGAGTGAGAAGCCGGACGGACCCAGGGAAACAGCCTGTGTGATTCCACTTCTGTCAAGTTCCAAAATAGGCAAAACAGATCTAGATGATAGAAGAGAGAATGGTAGTTGTGTGGGGCAAAGGAACGGTTCTGTTAACTGGAAGGGGACATGCCTTCATTTCCCCAAACACTTGACTTGCCGTGTGGGTGCATTTCCCACGGGCCCTTACTGGAGAGTAGATCCCTCCCCCTTGGCTCCTGTGGGGCCAGGTACTTCTCCTTCAGCACTTGATATGTCTCTGTTAATTATCGTCAGTTTGGTCTGTGTCTTCCTCCTCGCCCAAGCCCTTGCCACGGCCTTGCAAGGCTCAGGTGTTGGATTTACCACTCTGCTCACACCTAATGCATAGTAGGCCTCAGTAAATATGTTAAATAAAGACATCCATTTGCTGAGCCTCTGAGATTTGTGGGTCCTGTGATTCTCTGCCCCACTTTCCCAGACTGACTGACCTCCCTTTGTCTGTTCTGGACCCCCAAGACCTCTGTCCTAGTTTGTTAGACTTCCAACCTGCGAAGTCATTTCATCTCTGGGCACACGTGTGTGTCTGTATCTGAACCCCTCCTTGCCCAGAAACCCTCTGCCTCCCTCACGCCCCCAGCCTGGGTTGCCTCACCCTTTCCCTCGCCTTTCCTTTCTCCTTCCAGCACACTGCAGAGTGAAGTCAAGCCCATCCTAGAGAAGCTGACCCAGGACCAGGATGTGGATGTCAAGTACTTCGCCCAGGAGGCTCTAACTGGTAAGGCGTGAACTCAGACACCCCGGCGGGAGGGTGGTGTACAAGGACGAGCCTAGGCCTGAGAACAGCAGCTCCTGGGAGGGAGAGATGCAGAGCAGTTGGGGGCAGAGGGCTAGCTGTGGTTCTGACTCCCTCCTGTTCCTGTTCCCCCAGTTCTGTCTCTCGCCTGATGCTGGAAGAGGAGCCGACGCCGGCCTCTGGTGTTCACCCTCCCCCCCCAGGTCCCTCCCTCAGGGAGACGGTGGGGGGCCTTTGGCTGTCACTCCCTGTGCATGGTCTGACCCCAGGCCCCTTCCCTCAGCACGGTTCTTCCTCTCCCCAGCCTGGGAATCCGACTTCTTGCTGTCCACCTCCCGAGGGGCTTGGGGAGCACAAGGTGGGACAGGGCAGTGACCCTGGGAGGAAGGGGCCACTTCCATCCGCAGAGATGTGAGTGTCCAGGGTCACTGGCTCCAGCTGCTGTAATGGGGACCCCCTACCCCATCTTCTCCACCTCCTTTCTCCCTTCCTCCCTTCCTCCCTTCCTTTCCCCACCCCCCTCAGTGGTTTTTTTGTGTGTCGACTGTGCCGTTTTTATTTTGTTCCTTTTTTCCCTTTTCACAGAGAAATAAAGGTCTAGAAATAGCTGGTCCTCTGGTTTTAGTCACTAGCATGGAGGAGGGGTGCCACACCAAGGCCATGCTTTCTCCCACTCTCTTTGGGGAAGACCTAATTATTGGGCTTGGGGTTTCTCTGGGGAACCACCAGGAGTGTAGCTGGCCTGCAGGGTAGAGAGGGTCCATGAGGTGTCTCTGGCCAGCAGAGGCCTGGCTGCAGCTTAGTCTCACAGACATCAGCCAAGTATGTGGTGGTTCATAGCAGGTGCCTTGGAGCCAGACTGCCTGGGTCCAGATCCCAGTTCTTTTAGAAATGGCTGTGTGACCTTGATTGAGTAGGTTACCCAGTTTCCCCAAGCTCAGTTTTGTACTTTGTAAAATGGGGAAAACGGTAGAGTCGAGATTGCAGTGTGAAGACTAAATAAGTTCATATATGTCAAGTGGGTAACCGCGCGTAGCACGTGAGAAGCTGTGCCTTGCTGGAGAGCCCCCTGTGGGTCAGGCCCTGCTGCTGAGGAAGCCCCAGGGCCGTCACAGGGAATGAATGGGAAGGGTACCGGCAGGATGGAGCCCGTTGTCCCTCAATACCAGTTCTTCCCATTTCTTCACTAATAGAGACACTCTGCTTTGTAGCTGGGCACGTCTGCCTGGATTCAAGGCATTTTCCAGGTCTCTTGACATTCGAAGTGGCATTGTGACTAAATTCTGCCCAATAACATGTGAACAGAAGCGGTGTGTGCAGCTTCTAGGAAGTGTTCCCCGGGAGGAGCTATGCACCCACTGCTTTTCCTCCTTCCTGCATTTTAGACTATAGATCAGATGACTGGAGTGGGAGCAGCCATCTCGGGCCAGTAAGCCCAGCAAGGTAGCAGAACAAGATAAGAGGAGCCTGGGTCCCTGATGCTGTGACAGCCCACACCAGTGTGGGTTACTTGGGGGAGTTAAACTGACTCACTGTTCATTTGGGGTTTCGTCACTTGCAGGTCACCAAATTCTAACTGATGCAGGGGCCAAAGAGCCCCGGAGAGAGGAACAGGAGACTTAGTGGATGGTGGTACGTGTAAGGTTTCACAGAGGACGCGATACTGAGTGAAATTTTGCTCAGCCGGGTGGACGGGAAATTGGCACTGGGTGGCAAAGTAATTTCACCAGCTCAGCCCTCGTGTTACTGAGTCCCTACTGTTAGGCCCAACTGCGCCCTGGGGGATGAGGGTGAAGGAAACCGTTCCTCCCGTTTTTGACTTACGTTGGTTTCATAAGGGAAGGGTCTGTGGCTTACATTCAGGCCTCACCCTGCACCCAACACAAATGTACCTTTCCTGGGGTATAAATATTTGAAGGACTGACTGAGTGAAGAATCGAAGTTGGGGGTGGGGCAGTGTGGTCACTTTCAGCATGATGAACGTTCAAGTTCAGTAGGCAGTCTACCACTAATTGTTGAATGAACATTCAGATGGATGCTGCGTGGTGTTTCATCTGTATTTTACTGTGTAACAACACACCTGCAAAACTTGGTGATTGAAAACAATGAAAATGTATTCCTCATCATTCTGCAGTCTGGGCTCAGGTCAGTTGGAAGCTTCCTCAATATGGTATCTGCTGGAGTTGGAATGTTCAGGATGAGTTTGTCACTCCCGTGTCTGGGAGTACCACCTCATCCGAGACCTGTTACAGCACCGTGACCTCTCCAGGGTGGCTGGACCTCTTTATCTGATGGCTTATGGTTCCAAAGCAGCTTCCAAGAGAACGAGTCCCAGTTTACTCGCTTTCAAACCTCTGCTCGCATCACAGACCAAAACAAGTCACATGGTGAAGCTCAGAGTCTGTGTGGGGAGGGACCTCGCAAGATGTGAAAACCTGGAGGGTATGGTTCACTGGGGGCTGCCAGTAATAGTCTCCGACACATGGTCCAGAGAGAAACTTCGAGTTCCATCTTAGCTCTGTTAGAGGCGGGTGGAGGCATCAACAGCATAAGGTGAGGCTGATGGCAGAGAGTATAGAGCATTTGGAGAAAGCCGAAGATGTATACTTTATCCTGGAAGCTGAAAGCAGCCACAGGGATTTTGGTAAAGGAGTGACAGCATCAGAATTAAAGGGGGTGGGAGGACCTGGAGGATATGGTCAAAGCAAGAGAGGAGTTTTGAGCTGGAGCAGGTACTGTGCAGTTGGGGAGGTTGTGGGTAAAAAGGGAAGCAAAGCTTCTCAAGGGGACAGATTGAGACTGGGTAACACTTGGATCTGGGAGTAAAGGGAAGGATGCAGTCATCTTGGCAACCAGGGTTCAAGCCTTCTGAGACCACCTGCTCTTCTCTGAGAAACCGTCCCGGTTCCTGCAAAGCTACACGCGCTTCAACATCGCCAACCCTTTGCGCGTAACACGAATCTCTACCTGGAAAGCTTTCCCTCCTCACTCCTCGGGAAACAGAAGTAATTCAGTGTGGAGAGTGGGAAAACAAGTGGGGAGTGGCACTGGGGAGAAGTATGTGGGGCAGATTTTGAAGAGCCCTCAAATACAGTGAAGGGATTGATTGTGACCCTGAGGGACAAGATCCAGCAAGATTTAGGGGAGATCCTTCTGGGGTCAAATGAGGCCAGGGGGCCAGAGAGGAGGCTGGGATGATGGTCCTAGGGGGCAAGGGCAGGGCCTCAGCGGGGGCTGTGGCTGAGGAGAGCAGATTGAGGAGGTAGACTTGAGGCCACTTCTGCTTTTCAAACACACAGGGAAGTTACACAAGATGAAGCTGGAAGGAAGGCCCTGTCCCCATCCTGGTCTCAGATCGAATCAAAATTTAAAGCCTCAGCATGTGCCTTGTCATCGGCCCTCCTGTCTAAGGAAATCCCTGCTCCAACCACTCCCTTTAGTCCTTCTCTGTGCAGCTGTGTTTTTCAGATGATGACGAAACAGACCCAGAGTGTTTTGGGTGTCTGATGTGGGCTCTTATGGACATACCAGATCAGAACTCCACAAATCTCTCCCAGAAGAAAAAGTGCCTTAATTTCTTCTAGTAGCCCAAGATCCTTTTAGGTCCTAACCAAGGAGGAAAGCTGGCCCTATAAGCTAGGCGAGAAGAAGCAGAGCATGGCTGGCACCATAGGAAATAGGGTCCTGGTCTCTTAACCATAATGCAAAATCTAGAAATCCACGGTAAGATTTTTAATGAGTTATTGGGGGCAAAACCTGATCTCTCCTGAACTACTATAGTCTAAACAAAGCCTAACTTCAGAGCTTTTATTCCTCTTACGTAGAATATACATCACAGCAGAAATCTCTATATCAGGAATATATGGAATGCATTTGATGGGTAATCAAGAGTATCCACAAAAGTCCAGGCCCAGATGGCTTGAGTAAATTCTACCAAAACATTTAAAGCATTAATATCAATTTTTCACAAACTCTTCGCAAAAGTAATAGTACTTCCCAACTCATTTTGAAGCCAACGTTACTTTGATGCTAAAACCAGACAACAACACCAGAAGAAAACTACAGACCAATATCCTTCATGAACATAGATACGAAAAACCTCTACTAAATACTAGCAACCCAAATCCATCAGTACACAGGATTAGGCACCATGATCAAATGAAATTTATCCCAGTCATACAATGTTAATTTAACATCAGAAAAATCAATAAAAGATAAAAACCATGTGATCATTGATGCTGAAAAAACATTTGGCAAAATCCAACATGCTGTCATAATAAAAACACTCAACAAATGAAATAGAAGGGAACTTCCTTAACCTGATAAAAGGTATCTACAAAAACCCGCAACTAATGTAATGATGAAAGACTGGATGCTTACCACATAAGATCATGAACAAGACAAAAATATCCACTCTTGCTACTTCTTTTCAACCTTGTGATAACAGCTCAGAGTAATTAGGCAAGAAAAATGAAAAGGCATGCAGATTGGAAAAGAAGAAGTAGAACTGTATTTGCAGATGATATGACCTTCTATAGGAAATCCTAAGAAATCCACTAAAAAAAAAAGAGTCTAATAAACAAGTTCAGTAAGATTGCAGTATGCAAGATAGATACACAAGAATAATTTGTATGTCTGTACATTGGCAGATAAATGTTGGTAAGGATGAGATACTGGACTCCTCATATACTGCTGATGGGAATGTAAATGGTATAGTCACTTTGGAAAACAATGTGTTGGTCCCACAGAGTTACCATTTTGCCCACTCATTCCACTCCTAGGTATATACCCAAGAGAATTGAAAACGTACGTCCTTACAAGAACTTATACGCAATTTTTGGTAACAACATTCTTGACAATAGCCCGAATGTGGAAACCACCCAAATGTCCATCAACTGATGAATGGACAAATGAAATGTAGTGTGTCCATATAATGGATATGAGTCAGCCATAGAATGAATGAAGTATTGATGCATGCTACAACATGGGTGAATTTTGGAAACCTGTCAGGTGAAAGCAGCCAGACATAAGAGGCTGAATATTGTAGGATTGTTTTACTTGTACCTTTGGTGTCATTTCTAAGAAATCATTGCCAAATCTAATGTCATGAAGGTTTTGACCTATGTTCTCTCCTAAGAGTTTTACAGTTTTAGCTCTTACATTTAGGTCTTTGTTTCATGTTGAGTTAATTTTTGTATATGGCGTTAAGTAGGGATCCAACTTTTTTTTTTTTTTTTTTTTTTTTGCCTGTGGGTATTCAGTTTTCCTAGTACCATTTGTTGAATGGTCTTGGCACTCAAAAATCATTTGACCATAAATGCCAGTACCATGATATTTTGATTACAGTAGCCTTGTTTTCAAATCAGGAAAGTGAGTCCAGCTTTGTTCTTTGTTTTGGTTTTTAGGGGCCCTTGAGATTCCATATGAAGTTTGGGATGGGTTTTTCTTTTTCTGCAAAAAACATCATTGAGGTTTTGATAGGGATTGCATTGAATCTGTAG